TACAAAGTTGACTGGTAAACTCTTATAAACCAATATAATAAACAGCACAGAAATCACTACTGTTCTAGTTAGATTTATTTTCAACTTCTTAATGAAACCAAAAAACAAGAAGCAAGCAGAAAATAATGTTGACTCCACCTCACCTCATTTAAGATGACTACTATCAAATGCAAAATAAAAAAATAAGAAGTGTTGATGAGGAGAAATCAGAAGACTTATGCACTGTTGGTGGAAATGTACAGTGGTACAATTGCTATGGAAAACAATATCATGGTTCCTCAAAAAATTTAAATAGAATTACCATATGACCCAGCAATTCCACTTCTACCCATTTTATACCCAAAAAACTGAAAGCAAGATCTGAAAGAGATACTTGAACACCCATGTTCATAGGCACATTATTTATATTCCACCCAAAAGTGAAATCAACCTGAGTCCACAGAGGAACAATAGGATCAACAAAATGTAAAATATACATACAATGTAATATTATTAGCCTTTAGAAAGGAAAGAAATTCTGACACATACTAAAATATGGATGAACCTTGAGAACATTATACTAAGGTAAATGTCAGTCCCCAAAACACAAATACTGTATGGTTCTGTTATGGGAAGCTGCTTCAGAAAACACTCTTAAGTCTAAATTCAAATCAATGAGAGCTTTATTTACCTGGCCAGGGACAGTCACCCACCCAAAGAGACTGAAGCTCTGTAGAACAGAAGCTTCCTGGTCCATTTTTTTGAGAATTTATGGACAAAAACCACAACTCAGTGGCTAATTTTCCAGTTAGCAAGCAAGCAAGTACAGAAGCTAGAGAAAAGCAATTAGCTTTGCAATTCCTGGGTTCAAGCAGATGCTAGACTGAGTTTGAGCAGGGGTTGGCAGGGGCTAGAATCTATTTCAAAGTCATGTAGACCCACACGTGCACTCAAACCCAGGATGTAGTTCACCATACCACCGCTGCATCCTGAGTGCGATACAATTTGTTATAAGAAAACAGGTTTCATAGAAACAGATTTTTATAGAAGGCAACAAAATGGAGTCTTAAGCCTGTCTATGACGGTTCTTGCTTTATAATGGTCTTACCTTACTTATCATATCTATAATCTATATTTTTTTACTAATCTATAACCTATAACTTATACTCTTACTGATTTTATTTATTAGTTTACACCACAACAATTCCACTTACCTGAGGTACTTATGACTAGTTAGATTTACACAAACAGAAAGTAGAATAGTAATTGACAGGATCTTAGAGAGGAGAAAGAGAATTGCTTAATAGCTATAGAGTTCCAATTTTGCAAGATGGACGCGTTCAGGAGATGACTGTTGATGATGGTTGCACAATTTGAATACACCTAATTACCGAACTATATGTACACTTAAGAAGGGTTGACTGGGCTGGAAGATGTAGCCAAGTGGTAGAGCACTTGCCTAGCATGTATGGGTTAGATTCCCAGCACCTGAAACGCAGAAAAAAGTTGAGAGAGTAAGTAGGTGTACCACAATATAAAAAACAAAAGCAAAAAAAACAACCACCTATGACCGAACAACAAACCACGTCAATCAAAAACAGCAGAGAACGAAGAACCTTAGACCTGTCAGCCCTATCATATTAACCACCTGGCTGTGGGAACTGGGAACAAAGGGCGGGGCAAGGGCGGAACTCTGGGGCCTGACGAGGCTACAGGGAAGTCGCAGGTTAAAGCAGATCACCCCAAGGGCTGGGCTGCCACTGCGCAGGCGCACATACAGCTGCCAGGCGCCTTTGAAACGTGCCGGAAATGACGCTTGTAACGCTGAGACAGGTCTGGAGACTACTAGTGCGTACCGCTTAGGTGAGCAGGGCAGGGCAGGGGCCGGGGTATTCCTACCGCTATGAACTGCACCATCGAGAAGATCCTGACAGACGCCAAGACACTGCTGGAGAGGCTGCGGGAGCACGATGCGGCCGCCGAGTCTCTGGTGGATCAGTCGGCCGCGCTGCACCGACGAGTGGCCGCTATGCGGGAGGCGGGGACAGCGCTTCCGGACCAGGTCAGGCAGAGGGTAGAGGTCCTGGGCCCTCGGGTTCTAGGCACTGGAAGGGAGGAGAGATGTGAAATGGGGTCTCGGCTTGGAGTTTATTCCCGATTCCAGAGGGTTGTGGTGAGAACTGTTGCGGATCGGGGTCAGGATTCCTGCACTGGAGCCCTGACTATTGCTTTCAGTTGCATCTGCCACTGTACTGTTTATCGTGCGCTTAGTGTGTCTGTTTGTCCAGTATCAAGAAGATGCGTCCGACGTGAAGGACATGTCAAGATACAAGCCTCACATTCTGCTGTCTCAAGAGAACACACAGATTAGAGATTTGCAGCAGGAAAACAGAGGTTAGTAGGGTCTTTTTGTGTATTTAAGATATTTCTCATACCCAGTAAAAGTTCATAAAAGTGCATATCCTATGTTTATTTACGGGTCAGTGCTCTTATTAGGAGATTTAATTACTAACAATAAAGTTTTCCAGATTACCCTTTTTAAGGTCATCTACTGATTTTTTTTTCTTTTAATGTGTATTAGCAGTTTATCAAAGAGATGCTTACACAGTTGAATTATTAGACGCCTTTTTTTTTTTTTCCTTTAGGGTATACCAAATAGAGACTTGCATTTAAAAAGAGTTTATATTCTCAGAGCCTTAAAATTTAATACTTAAGTACTCATTAGAATAAACACTGAAGTTAAGCTTCATAATGCAGTTAAAAAAGAGCTTCAGAGATGTTAAACAATTGGCTTTGAGTACTAAGGAACTAAGTCACAGAAATCAAACCATGTCTTCTGATTACACATCCCGTTTTATTTCTACCAGACTATGCTGCCTGTGCCTATAAAGTTTTTGTTTTTTGTTTTTAGTTTTTTGCAATTGATTCAAGGGGTGCTCTACTACTGAGCCACATCCCCAACCCTTTTTATTTATTTTGAAACAGAGCCTCATCAAGTTGTTCAGGTTGGCTTTAGATTTTTGATTCTCCTTCCTCAGCCTCCCAAGTCACTGGGACTACAGGTGTGGGGCAATACACTCAGCCTAGAAAGTTATTTTTTATGTACACTGTAGCTGTTCAATTTTGTAGACTTAAACACTAAATCTGATCTTACTATATTATGGTTCACATTGTAGTGCAATTTCTGTGCATAGATTGAATGAGCTTTTGTTTTCCCCGTTAACATGTTTTATGTTTTTCAAGATAACTTTTTAAAATGAACTTTTAAAAATCATACTGCATGTGATCATGTTCTTCATATATGTAGAAAATGTAATTTTTTCACTTTGAATTAATAATATCTCATTGAGTATGGTAAAATTCTGTTAAGAGTTTAACCTTGGGATCTCTCTCTCAGACATCACTACCAAGGTATTTTATTTTTTTGTTAGAACTGTGGGTGTCTTTGGAGGAACATCAGGATGCTTTGGAACTCATCATGAGCAAATACCGGAAACAGATGTTACAGTTAATGGTTGCAAAAAAAGCAGTGGATGCTGAACCAGTTCTGAAAGCTCATCAGTCTCACTCTGCAGTAAGAAATTTGATAAGTAAATTATAAATGAACTGAATTGAAATTTTGAGACTGTTTCACTTTGTATACTTGTTTTGGAGAAAAGAGAGTACATATTCATTGTTTATTTTGTTGTGGCTTTGTAAAGATATGGCTAAAAAGAAGGGGAGAAGAGGCTGCTCAAGTCCTTTTGAGTGGGACTATGTTCCTCTCTGCCCTCAACAAGATCTCTTTTCAAGATGTTAGTTTTTCCATGAACTATAATGCAAGTTGGTGTTGAAGGTGCTCAGTAAACACTTGGTTGGTTGTAATTGGTACATTTGACTGAATTGTAAGCTTCATGGTTTAGGGGAGCATACATTCATATTTTTTCCTTAACCTAGTTTCTGGCACATATCAGTCAGTAAAGCTGTGTTAAACTAATCATACTATGTTACTTGAGAGAAATGTTTTGTTTTGTCTTAAATGACAGTTTTTATACATTAGTCAATGCCGATTTAATTTGAGAGACCCAGTATTGTGCTTTTTTTTTCCCTGGTGGTGCTGAGGATTGAACCCAGGGTCTTGTGCATGTGAGGCAGGTACTCTACCAACTGAACTACTTTCCAGGCCCCCCCCCAGTATTATTGTTCTATTTGTACAGTTTTTCATAGTTGTCATTGTACATTCATATGTACTATATCATTTAATCCTGGATTAATAGATTGGAACCTCACTGTTTGCTTCAGGGGAAGTGTACTGAAATATGTTCATTGAATGCATTTTCAAAGTTTTAGGGAACAGGGATATTTTAGATATTTGAGTATCTTTCATCTGGAAGAAAAAAAATTATTTTCTGTGGTCCAGAGAAAACTTTAAAAAGAAAAGAATTTAGCTCATATGGAAATACTTTCTAAGAGATATAGCCAAAGATAAAGGAACCTCATACTGTGATAAACTTCCTGCCAATAAAAGTATTCAAACTTGAGTTAAATAGCTACCTAAAGTCCAACTTCCAGTGGATAGTTAGACTACAACTGATCTGTTTAGTGTGAATACCACAAACTCACTTTATTATGGCTCAGATTATTGGTTAATTCTGGTGCAACTTCTGTGGCATAGATAGAATGAAGGTTTTTGTTTTTCCTATTAACACATTTATATATTTCAAGGTAACTGGTTTGGTTTTCCTTTTTTTTTTTTTTTAGTTGTAGATGGACAAAATATTTTTATTTTATTTGTTTTTAATTTTATGTGGTGCTAAGGATCGTACCCAGTGCCTCATACATGCTAGGCAAGTGCTCTACTACTGAGCCACAATGCCAGCCCGAACTGTTTTTTTTAAAAGAACTTTTAAAAATCAGTTCATACGATCCTGTTCTTCATATGTATAGGAAATATCACTTTTTCACTTTTTCCCTTAATATTTTCACAGGAAATTGAAAGTCAGATTGATAGAATCTGTGAAATGGGAGAAGTGATGAGGAAAGCAGTTCAGGTGGATGATGATCAGTTTTGTAAAATTCAAGAAAAACTAGCACAATTGGAGGTAAGATTGTTGCTTTTTTAGGTTCACAATTTTTCGCAGTTTTTGTAGAGTCTAGACATTAACCTGTCATGGCAATGTATTTATGTTTTCTGTGTGTGCTCACAACTTAAAATTCTTCCTTCATACTCTTTTCAGGAAAGGAAATGTAGTAAACTATAATCAATGAAAATATCAACTATGTATTAACTGGAAGTTGAGATATTATCACATTCGGAGAGTAGAGAGTGGAAGGAACAGGTTACATGTGATCTGAAATCCCTCATTTACTGTAATAAGTCAAATAATGTCTAAAATTGAGGGAATGGTAGGGCAAGGGATGTAGTTGAGTGGCACGGCACGTGCTAAGCATCCACAAGTCCCTGGGTTTACTTCCCAGAACCATCAATGGGGAGGTGGGGGGGTGGGGGAGCAGGGGAAGTGGCAGTATACCCATATTATTTAGAATTATGGAAATAAAAATCAAAATAGATAAAAAGAGTTAACGGTGAACAAAGCCAAGAAACTTCTATTTATTTTATAGATTTAACTTTTTAAAGCTATTTCCATGTAATATTTTGATTAAAATAGAAATATATTACAAAAGAAATACCTAGTGTAATAGTGTGCCCAAAAAACATGTTAGTAGATGGTTTGGTGCTTGCTGCAAGGAATTATCATGGGCCCTTTGAGAAACAGCAGAAAGCCAGGATGATAAGGCAGAAGGATCTGAGTTCTAAGTTCTAAGCCAGCCTGGGCAACATAGAGAGATCAAGTCTGAAAAAACAAACAAAAAAGAAATACTAGAGAAAAAAAGTCCAAAGTCCAGTGGAAAGAACAAGACTAGTATTTACATAATATGAAATGTTATTTAAGTGCCAGAAGAAACATACCAAAGTATCTTTATGTGGTCTCAAAGATTTATTGACCATGGACTCTGACCTCTTTGGCAAACCTGGAAATACTATGGTTTACCAGAATTCCTACAGAGAAAATAATGATGAAACTCCATTTAGAAATCAAAGGGAGTGACAGGTCCCAAGTAGGAATTAGGAGTTAGTTAATAGAGCGAACTTCTTTTTATTATCCCTGATTTGTTTCAGTTAAAGAAACAGCCCTAAGGAAATGTGGGACAAGTTTTACTTAATAATTCCAGTGGAAAAAACATGGCCCCAAAAGTACTACATCCAAGTTGTCTGAATGTGGACACATTTTGGGAGCTTTGGGAGCCCCAGTATCTTCATCTTAAATAAAATATGCATGTAGGCAATGATATCTACCCTAAAGATTGTTAGGAAATAACATATATAATGCACTGACATGGTACCTAGGTACACCTCAGTAAGTGGTTTACCTTCTCTCCCTTTTTATCCATTTTCTAAAACTATTGGATATCTAGGAAAGGAAATTAATCAAGAGTGAAGAGATCATTAAGAATTTGAAAAACAGTAGTAAAACTTGTGGGAACAAGAAGAGTATGACAAATAGTAAATTCCTCAAGTGAAAAGGAACCTTGTGTTGTTTCTTCTATGTAGTCCTAACACTTGGTATATAAAAATTACTCCACAAATTTTAAATGAGTAAATAACTAGTATTTAGAAAATTGTTATCTAGTGATTTGTTTCCTTAAAACTAAAATGTTTTCTGTTCCTGGCCCCAAACAATGTGTTCTGACACAGTTTGACAATAAAAATACAGGAAATAAGATAAACCCGCCTTTTTTTTTTTTTCCCCAGCTTGAAAATAAAGAACTTCGAGAATTATTGTCCATCAGCAGTGAGTCTCTTCAGGTCAGAAAGGAAAATTCAGTGGACACTGCTTCCCAACCCATCAAATAACTGAACTTCCAAGTGATGGCTGAAGATTATCTAGGAAGGAATTTATCTGTCCATCTAAGTATTATCCATCCAGTGTCTTGCCTCAGACTTGATTTAGTGTTGATTACAGATATCAGGCAGCAGTTTAGAATTCCCAGTCAATGTTGGTGTCCACAAAATAGTTTTGTGGTATATTGTGAGAATATACACTGTGTTTCACCATTCCTTCCTCTGTAAGACTACCTTTAATTTTCATTTCTGGGACCTCGATTTATATAAACTGTTTTCTGTCCTTTTTTGTTTTCATATCTCTGAAACTTTGAGCATTTTATTATAAACCAGTTCTCTTATTTTATAGAGGATCATAAGATACAGTGCTAAAGATTTTTAAGAGATTTAACTTTTTACATCTTTTTGGCATAAACCTGAATTTTTTTTTTCCCATTTGACAGAAGTAACATGATTTCACAGAACTAGATTGGCAGATTCTCTGATTTGTAATATCATTCACCTGTGAAGTTTTGATTCTCTCTGGTGCTAGGAGTTGGCACATTGTGGTTGGGTGTCTTTACTCTTAATTTGAGAGAACTTACTGCTAAATCCCAGGAAATGTACTTGAAAGTAAATAAGCCAACTATTTTCCCCCCAGTAGTAGTATAGTCATCATATCATTCAACGAATGCTGAGGAATCTGTCCTGTGTATGTGTACTCACATGAGTACTTTGTTCAAATGCCAAAAGTAATTTATTTATTTAATTAAGTATAAGTAGTCAGTTTTCGATTTTGTCCTGCTAGGAAACCTTCAACTTAGGTAGTTTACCTAGGGTAAAGAGCGTATCATGTATTTATCCATATCATAGTCCTAGATACTATATTTAATTTATATAACTTTTATTTTATAGTTAAGAACCACCATCTACTTGGATGTCATTATTAGCACTGGCATTTGGCTCTTTTGACATATTTTTTTTTACATCAATGCATTTTTATTTCTTAAGGAAAGTCATTACATTTATAATGCTATTATAGGCAACAACAAAGCAACTTTGAGATTCAAATTCTGGGTAGTCAGGTTCACTCATTAACTCATTCCCATTTCAGTTCAGTCACATTTCAGATCTCTAAATTACTTTGTTATATTAGCCATTTAAATTTTTCCAATAATGGTTCAAATAAACCTGTCAATATTTTCTAGTATCTTAGACATCCTAGTACTGCATGGGAGAGACATGATATTAAAGAGTTATTTGCTAGTGCTCTGTGTGATATAAAGCTTCTTTTTTACTGCTCTGAAGAACTCCAGATAAAACAAACAAAAGCTCCCCAAAATGTCTTAAAGGCATCTGATTCCAGTAATGACAATGCTTAGATTACTGGGTATTAATGAACAGTTATATGTCATTTTAGAATTTGTCAAATTTCTTTTCACTGTCCTGCAGAGAATTTAAATGGAAAACATTTCTACCCACCAAGTGTGTGCATTTTTATTTCATTTTCCAAGAGTAAGTAAACTTTTAGTCCAGCTATTTGCCTTGAAGTAAGCCCTAAGTATGTGTCACAAGTCCATTTGGGAAGCAGGTATCCTATACCTTTTGTCAGCTGCCATGCCCAAGTTTTCTTGAAAATGATAAAGTTATCAAGTAGTTCATTAAGATATAATATAGCATTCATTGCCTTTTGTTCTTTTAGAGCAGTTTCTGAAATTCTTTATATCACAGATTTCAGGGTAAATCTATATGTTAACCTTTTCTCCTAGGAAATCAAAATCTTGATGTCCAGTGACTCAGGAGGCTGAGGTGGGAGGACTGCAAGTTTGAGGCCCCAAGTAACTTAGCAAAAACCTGTCTCAAAATAAAAAGGGCAGGGTTGGGGTTTTGGCTCAGTGGTAGAGTGCTTGCCTAGCATGCATGAGGTACTGGGTTCGATCCTTGGCACCACATAAAAACAAACTAATGTATCCACCTAAAAAACTAAAGATACATAAATAAATACATACTTTAAAAAAAATAAATAAATAAAAAGGGCAGGGTGTGTAGCTCAGTGGTAAGATGTCCCTGGATTTTATCCCTAGCAACCCTCCTGCCCCAACCCCCCAAAAAAGGGGGAAAAAAAAAAGCTTGTTTTATGAGTGAAGAGTTTTCAGTGCCCTACATATTAATTCTGGCTGGTGGTAATGTTATAAAGGTAATGTATAGTTAGAAAATTAAATGGAGAAGGAATGCTCTTCTTCACTTTCAGTGAATATTAATGTCTTGCCGTAGATGGAGGAACTTGACTGGTTTGCAAAATTTCAGTATAAAATTATTATTTCTAGTGAAAACCTATTTGAGAATATTAGCCAGTTTTAATAGTTTGTAATTAGCCAGGAGTGGTGGTGTACTCCTGTAATCTCAGGGACTCAGGAGCCTGAAGCAGGAGGATCACAAGTTTAAGGTCATGCTGGGCAACTTAGTGACACTCTATCTCAAAAAATAAAAAGGGCTTGGGATGTTGCTCAGTGGTAGGGGGCCACTGGGTTCAGTCCCCAGTATTGGGGGGGGGGACCATAAATGTCCTATAATTAGCATAATATATTCAACAAGGTAACCTTACAAATAGTATCTTATATTAATAAGGTGTTAATTACAGCAGTTCCTTATGCATATTCAAACATTGAAGGTATATTTCAATATTCCTCAACATGTGGTTCACTAACCTGCTAAAATAGAAATTTGAAGATAGGATCCAGGAATTTGTATTTTAATAATCATCCAGAGTAACCTGTAAGGATAAAAGTTTAAGAATATGTAGACTGTATGCAAAGCATTGGAAGTTGTGAGTTGAAAAAGGCCTTGACATTTTCTGATAAATGGTAAGGGGAAAAAAGCAAGGGTCATATAATGCAATATGATAAATCCATATAAATATGTATATGAAACAGGAAAGACTATTTAAACTTGAGACAACAAATGGCTAGGAGGAGAACCAGAAAACCTTGGTGTCACAGAAGCAAAGTATAGATGGTACTGCCAATAATGATTACCATTTATTGAATGCTTTATTGTGTATCCGGTACTGATATATAATCTCCACGTAAACTGTACCCCACTTTACAGCTACTCAGGTACAAGGAACTTATTATTTATCTAGACTGGAACCAAGGCAGTCTAGGCACTTACTCTTAAATACATTTCTTTGTTTTATTCAAATACATTCTTAACCACCAAGTTAAGGTGCCTTTAAGTGCCAAATATTGTACAGTCATGGTTCTCTTTTTTTTTTTTTTAGTTGTAGATGGATACAATACCTTTATTTTTTATTTGTTTTATTATTGATTGAACCCAGGGCCTCACACATGCTAGGCAAGCGCTCTAAAACTGAGCCACATCCCTGGCCCAGTTCGTGGTTCTTGATTAGCAAAATCAATTTTTATTAATAGGGCAAGAAAAACCTCAACTGCTTATACATTAGAAAATACCATTAATTCAATAAATGGAGTCAACTAAAGAGATACAACTATTATCTGTTTTCCAGAATGGCATAGTTGAGAGTACCTGTGCTTGTAACTGAAAGGATCAATGCTTAATTGGTGGTTCTTACCACATACAGGAAGGGTACAACTCTCTTTCCAATCTGCCTCTGTTTTGTTACTTTTCATCCTTCGTGCTATTGTAGTTGTTAGAAAGTTGCTGCTGTAGCATATGTCATGCCCGTGTTCAAGACAGGAGAAAACTACAGGAAATGGCTAGTATTACCTATGTATATAACCCCTTTTATGAGAAAAACAAAGCTCTTCCAGAAATTCCTAAGGATTTCCCATTGCCATATTTGCCTGGCCTATTAAGTGGCTATTTCTAACTGCAAAGGAGAATGGGTACGTAGCTGGCCCAAGTAAAATGAGTATTCTAGCAGTGCCGACCTATAATCCCAGCGGTTTGGGAGCCTGAAGTAGGATAATTGTGAGTTCAAAGCCAGCCTCAGCAAAAGCAAGGCACTAAGCAACTCAGTGAGACCCTGTCTCTAAATAAAATACAAAATAGGGATGTTGCTCAGTGATCAAGAGCTCTTGAATTCAATCTCCAATACCCCTCTCAAAAAAGAGACTATTCCATTAACAGAAATTATATTGAGAAAATAATGCCTTTCACGTTGTCAGGTCCTTTCAAGTATTAGTTAAAGGAATGTATTAATGTTAAATATCCAAAAGAATGGGCTGTGGCAAACATCTGTCATTTCCTTCTTGGCTACCTAATATCCTAACTCGTATGTTTAGGGAATCCCTCACCAAATGAGGTAGAGAATTTGAAAGTGTCAGATATATGTTTTCACGACCTACTTTACAGGTAGGGAATATCTACCTTAAACTTTGAAGTTAGTGGTACAGTGAAACAGGAAATTATGGCAGAAAATGTTGACCAACAACAATGGCTATTACATTAGCTCCACAGAAGAGCAGCAAGATCGGTTTTTCTTCAGGGACAAAAACTCAATATCTAGTGTCAACAGATTGGTACTGTAATCTGCAGTGTCTGCCTAACAGTAGAGACTAGAGTTCACTGAAGCAATTCTCAGATATCACTGGAGACTATAACTTCCAATTCTGGTTTCCTGATTGGCCTAGAGATCTTCACTTTTTTTCTCTCTTCCAGGGCCGAGGACTGAACTCAG